TCAAACCCACCAGCCGCTCCTCAGAAGGAAGGTTGGGCAATCCTACTTCCGTAGTGATACTGCCTCGGAAACCCGAGGAGGGGTCGCTATGAGTCAGGGCCGACTCGACGGCAAATAACAACAACAACACAATCTAATAGTTACCATCACACCACACATATGGACCAAATTGCTACCTTGGTGTCATAAGCAAGAATGGAAATAGTAATGATTATTAAATTTACAAGAATATATTTTTAAAAAAAGCCAATTAACATTTGTTTAATGACAACCATATCCAAAGCATACAATTGCTTACATGTCACAAATCCTCAAAACAATCCTGCAAAGAAGGCATCCTTCAACTTAGATGTGGAAACTGAGACTCAGAGAGATTAAGTATGTGACTATTTTCACACAGCTAATGAAAGAGTCTAGATTTAAACCCAGGTATGCGTGAGTCCCAGAAGGCCTGGTGGTGAGTAGTTAAACTCTTGGCTGCTAACCAAGGCCAGCAGTTTGAACTCACTAACTCCTCCACATGAAAGAGAGGGCAGTATGCTTCTATAAAGATTGTAGCCTCAGAAACCCTATGGGGCAGTTGTACTCTGCCCTATAAGGTTGCTATGAATTATCATAGCTATGAGAAATCAACTTGTCAGCAACAGGTTTGGTTTAGTTTTTTGTTCCTGACTCCATAGCTTATGTCCTTAACCAATACACAATACTACCTCTTTAATAATTCTACTTTCAAATGACCAAAAAAGGGTAGGTGATTGTATCATGTGTCAGCTATAGCATAGCTTAATTTAGTAGATCAGTTTAATAGTAATAGTGAAAATAGTACAAATAAGTTGAAATAACGGAAAAATGGAAGCATTCAATGAGGTCAAAGATACTGTCTCTTAGAAACTGCCATTTCCCCTAGCTCCTGATGGCAGGAAATGACCATCGGGGACAGCCTCTCAGGAGATCCTCATCTAGTGTTACATGTCTTGGGACATGTAACATAGGAGACAGGCATTAAAAAACACACAGCTCCTGCTTACCTTAATCATTGTAACTGGGCCCTGAAAACTCACATTATGCAACAATTTAACAATTGTGTTAACAATCAGATACCGCAGAAACATCTCAATCCTACCTCTTTCTCATGGATTCGACAGAGTGAATGATCATCGTGAAAACTGCTGGATTTTCTCAGACTGAACTTGGGAGTTGTCTGTTGAATAAGTGAGAATTATTTAATACTTTTACCCTCAGTCCAAAAGTGACTTTCAAAATGCCTGAAGTCCATGCCAAAGTAATAACAACACCTAAGGCACTTGACGGGGGCTCTGGTAGCATAGTGGCTAAGGCACTTGACTGCTAACCAGAAGGCTGGCGGTTCAAACCC